GGTTTGTTGATCTTGATTACCCGCAAGATTGACGCAGTACCATTGGATTCATTCTCAATAAGATCCTTTGTAGGTACAACCATGAATTCTTTTCTCCACATGAATTCGGGGTGAATGGCATAGCCAAGGAATAAACCAGGGCTCGATGTTGGGTCGAAACGAAGTCCATCCTTGTTCTTCTTTCTTGGTCCATTCCAATAGTCGACAAGACAACCAAAAGGAATGAGGGGACCGTCAAATCTCGATCCAAAACGTAATTCCCATGGTGATTTGTCTCCCCCCGTTGCTATGACATTCTGCATGAAGCACCAATGTCGGGCAGCATGTGGCCAGTGCCAATGATTCAGACCTGCTTGGAGCAGATTGACACGAGTGCCTTCAAGGACTGACCGGACTGCTCTCTCGGCTTGGGCGTTGGACTTGGATATGTAATCTCTACTTAAAACATGACGGCACTGAAGGATCTTCATTGCTGATATCAGCTCGGGTGCATTGTCACTGTAGAAGACTCCTATCTTATCTTCATGTCCAACAAAGTGTTTAATTGCCAAGATAGCAGCATTGGTGGTTCGTCTGGCATTGGGGTAGACATACATAAATCCTGTTGCTATGTCCTTCACTACGAGTGCACTTTTCTCTTCATCGATTCCCAACTCATCTTCATCTCTGGTGACAATAAAATCAGCAGTGATGTGGTCACCAAATTTCTCAGCTTTAACTTTGGCTGATCCGCCTACAGTTCTTGAGGGTGGCTTGAACATCTTAGCTCTGGTACATATATCGCAAAAGGGGTTCTTAGGGATGTGAGTCAGCATATGTCGAATGGACTTAGCTTCTTCTTTCAATTCCTTTTCCCCAAGTGACCTTTTGTGAGCACCATCATCATGGACGTTACTACTGCTACCCTTGGATCCTTCCACAGGCGGCTCAACCTCCCGGTCGGCATCAGGAACATCAACCTCCTCAGCCTCCAAGGGCTGGGGCTCCGGTAAGTCAACATTGATACCCATGGGGTCATCACCAATGATTTCAATGTCCCCATCGGGCTCCGGAGATTGCTGAGCTTCATCTGATGCCGGGGTGGCAATACTTAGTCTAGGCTGAGTTGATGGAGTGGAAATCGTCTTTGAATTATTTGCAAAGTAGGGTACATAATCTCTGACAACTAACTCAATGCGTTCCCCATTTGGTTTGACCATGTAAGGAGGTTCACCTTTGGAGCCTCTCCATATGAAGTCGTAACCGTCATCAATGCATCTCATCCCGACTGAAATGACAGGAGGTGAGCTTCGAACAAGATATGGGTCAATGGTCTTGCCTAATTTTGGAACAAATACTTTTCCTTGTTTCGATGACGAACTTTCACCATTGGCAGTAATCATGCGAATGGGATTGTTGGAATAGTATCCATAGTCATCCGGCAATTCACTATCATTGACAAGATCCTGAGCGCTCCCCGTATCTGCAATCCAGTCAAGCTCGAGGTTGATCGCTCCCTTCACGTCTTCTCTGCATTCCGCAGGGGTGGCTTTGATTCCCTTTGGGATACATTCGTCGCAACCAAAATCTGTGTCACACAAATAGGCACATTTGCACTCAATTCCCCGAAGACAATTGGAAACAGATCCTGCTAACATGGTACCGGTCAAAGCGGCATCATTTACAGCAAGTTGATCAACTTCAAACTGATGTCCCCATGGAAAGGTAACCTTATCCTTGGTGACTGCGTTTCCAATTGGCCTCAAGTTCCCTCGGACTTTAACATGAGATACGTCCGGTGAATCATCAAAACGAATCGATGGACAAAATACTCTTGGTTGAGGGATACAAAATGCCTGAGACACGGATGCAAGCATGGATGCAACAAGACACACTGCGGCAGGCGACGGCTTAGATGAACTGGCCCCGGATCCTTTAGACTTCGGGGATTTCGGGCTCTTGGGGCTCTTAGAGCGGCTAGAGCTTCGGGATCCCTTCCTTTTCGGGTTCTTGGGATTTCTCTTTTTGTTTTTGTTTTCGCTACTGGCCGAACGGGCAGGAGTAGCTTGTCTTGGTTTTCCCGCTGAACCCTCATGAAGGAATTTGCAATCAGCTCCTCTATCGCAACGTCCCTGTCTCCAAAACTTGCAAACTTTCTTGCCTTTCCCCTTTGGCTTGGGAGAACCAGAACGTTCAGTAGAGCGACCTCTGGTTTTGCTGGGTTTGCGACTTCTGTCACGTGGCTTGGGGACTTCATGCTTGTAAGTACAGTTGTCCTTGCTACAGCCTCCCTTATTCCATGCCACACAATACCCCTTTGGGATAAATCCTGTCTTGCCCTCGACTGCGGGAGCGGAGGGACGACCGGTACCCGAAAGACCTTTGGCAACTCGATCACGATTTGCCTCTAACCTCTCACGGTCAAGGTGGCGTCGCACGGCAGAAACAAGGAAACTGTAGTTTCGCTTTTCGGTTCCTTCATCGGCTCTATGATACTCATTCATGTCATGTTGGATGGCCTTACAATTCTTCACTTGTTTGTAGAAGAGTGTCTCCAATACACTTACATCAGGAGTCTGAACGATACCAGCCAACACTTGATCCCAGTTCAAAATGAAAGACTTCAAATTTTCCCCACGTAATTGGACACTGAACAAATCTTGAAGGGCATAGGTTGCTCCGTGCTTGATGTTGGTACTGAAGTGGTCATGCAACATGAACAACACTTGTCTCCCTCTTACAATTCGTCCAGCGGTGGCTTCAGTCTCTTTGAAGGTGTCTACCTTGCGGGCGAAGTCACCAGTGATAATATTGGTGAGTGCAGAAAGTAACTTTGCATCAAGTGTCGCAAACGGCGCAACCTTCCGGAGCGCTTCAAGAGTCTGATCTTCTTTCCAAGAATCACTAACCCACTTGAAAGCACTGTCGGGATCGGTTGATGCTGCTACAACTGCCTCTCTGGTCTTGATTCTCCAATTACGGTAGGTTTCCGCCAATGGGAATGCTGGGATTTTGATAGTGTCAGCTTCCTTGACTTTGGGTTTATCGTCATGCCTTTAGTCAACGTAACCACCAAGAAATTTGATCATCCTTCGCCTGAACTTCTCATCATCGTCATCATCGGGATCATCATCGGGATCATCATAACCGTCATCACCACCGTCGGGGGGGTTAGGATCATTCCTGTTCTTTTTGGGAATCTTACGACCCTTATTTCCCTCCGGCTTGTCGTCAGGTGGTGAGGGTGGTCCTCCTCCCCCGTTCCCTCCATTGCCATCTCCTCCATCCCCGGGATCGTCACCATCTGGCAGATCGTCTTCCCCCGGCTCGAAGTAGTCCACTTCATCTGGGCCTAGTTCGGTCGGGGCATATTGATTGGTCGGCGCAGGGGAATTGACATTATCCATGGGATGGTTATCTCGGCGTCGATTATTGGCCTCTCCTCCCGAAGGGCGTTCCTCAGCGGAAGACCTTGCAACATCCGACTCCTTCTTCACTTGAACTGGGACTCGATATGATGGATCATGGTAAATAATCTCAATACCATCCTTTTCATAAGTCTTGGCATCAGGTGAAGTAAAGTTGATCGGCGTTCTTGCAATTGGAGGTCGGGCTACATTGGTTGGAGGTGCTGCAGGTGCAGCCTTGCGGGTCGGTGGAACAAACTCGAAACTTGGAATCTCCGTTGATGCATGGGTTCCGGCTGTCATAGTCATGGCGGCAGTTTCGACAATAGGACTTGGACGAACCTGAGCAAATTGGGAATCGAGCATACTTTGCAGTTTCAGATTATGTTGCATCTGGGCTTGTACCATGTGTTCAAGCTGTGTAATGCGCTCATTCTGAACCCTTCTCTCTTCCTCAGCTGCTCTCTTCAACTCAAGGATCTCTTGCTCCTTACTTGATAGTGATTGTCGATGGTTAGCATCAATGACACGTTGATATGCCTGAATTTTCTCATTCATCTGAGCTTCACGGAACCTTACGTGTTCATGCGCCTCATGCTGTAAGTTCTCTTTATATTGGGCACCCGCATTCAAAAGTTCTTGTTCTTTGATTCTGATAGCATCTAGGGCCCTCTGACTTTCAATGCCCTCGCGGACTCGCAAAGCTTCCTTCAACTCCTCAGTCTTGGCCGTGTGGATAGCTTCAGCCTGAGCTTCGGTATGAGCCAACACCTCACGATGGCGGAGCTCGGCCGCTGTTTCCACAAGGCTTGTCATCGCAGTATCATGTGAATGGACATGCAAATTCTGCTCGACAAAATTCACTTGAGGATTATCCATTTGCACATTGTGATGGAAAATGTTGTGAACATTCGTTTGGTTCAACTGGCGAGTCGGCGGCCCACCCTCCCGAGCGGCTTGGGGGACGTAACCACGGTGGTTGAAACCAATATGAGAAGGCACAATTGCGTTACTCATTGATGGTAAGTGGCGTCGGTCCCTTAGGCTTCGCGATTTATCGGAGCTGGGTGGTGTGCTTATGTCAACAGAAAATGGGGTGTCGGATATAGGCAAGGCTCCCGGATTCGCCATGGCTGCATCAGAGGAAACGGGGATACCGGGGCCCTCAGAGGAAGCACCTGAGGGGGCAGACATGCCTACCTAGAGAAAAGGCGTTACGGCTGATAACCTGTTTCACAGATTAAACAACCACAATGCAACAGCAATCACGCTTGTTTTCTTGAGCCATAAGCACAGTACAATATGGATGAATTAAGGTATATGTACAGTAGTATACATGAAAAACATATATTATATTATATTATATTATGTATAAGGGTTCTAAGGACGAATGGAGTTGGCGGAGGCTTGCAAAGTGTCTGTGTGTGTGTTTGAGTCACAACGAGACTCGATCTTGAAAACTGGGCCGAAGGCTTTCAAGATCTTTCAAGCTAGACTCGACTTTACTTGAGCTTTCAACATTCTCTTCATTTTCATGTGCACCTGTTCATGTTTTCTTCCCTGGTCTTTAGCACATTTTACATGCACAGTCTGCACAGTTCACAAAGCTGCAGCCTCTCTGCAACGTCTCTCAGGTCCTTGAGGCACTTGAGACGACAGCCCGGCCAAGCATGCAGTAAAACACTAAGAAGTCAATATAAGTCAATGAAATCTCAAAGAACAACCATACCATGGTGATCCATGGTGCCATGATGCCAGAATGCACTGCTGGCCTTGTCATGTGCAAGAACTGTCGACCCATGCCTGGAGCATGTGCCCTTCGACTTGTATTGGGACCACTTCTCTTGGCATAGTGCCGAAGAATCCGACAAAGACGTAAGAGCTGTTTCATTGGACTGACGCCAGCTGTTCCCCGCACGGTCCGGCGCAAACAGCATTGACTCGCGAAGACCTGCGCTGACAGCTTGATTTTGATTCTGCGTCAATGGGCCAGGTGAAACTTTGCAAACCCCATGGTCCTTTGGAAAAGATATGCAGCACATAAATAATGACATATTTTCCCCACAAAGATCACAAAGGATTCATTCAGAACCTTTGGTTGCTCATGTTGCTCTATCGCTCCAGTGTCCCGTTGTTCGCACCTAGTGCATCCAGCTTTTCATTGTCCGGGGCTAAGAGGTAGTCGTAATTCTTGAGAAGGATGGACTGAATCTGCAAGAGTACTGCAAAAAGCAGTTGATTTCATACTATTCGCCTAGCTACCAGTGTCTAGACTTTAGCAACTTCAAGCTTACAGCTGAAGGAAATCCATGGAAATCCACTGTGCTCACTAATCCAGGTGCTCGCTTAAAGTACAAACACAAATTTTCAAAGCGTAGCATTCGTAGCATCATGTGGCACCTTCGGCTTCAGGGTGAGGATCAGGTCCACCACCTTACAGGATGCAACAGTGAACCAGCTGTGTCTGGATGCAAGGTATGGCTCTAGCAACAATCCACCTTCCAGAGCTTCCCACAATGAGCATGATCCAGTCTGCACGCATGTAAGTCATTTCTCTGTCTGGTTTGTTGATCTCCCTTCCTCGAAAAGGGGTCTGCTGTAAACTTTAAGCCGATCCGTGTACGTCCCTCTCCACCGACCATGAAATCTCAACTGCTTCAAGCATCGTCAACCATCAGCAGCCACTACTACGAGTATCAACCATTGCACAGCATCTTGGTCTTCCAACCCCTTCCGGCCATGGCCCATCTAAGGCTGCGCATTTCAGCTCCTTGGGTAACAGGGCATCTTGGTGCCCGACTATTACTTTTGCACAAGATGTTGGTACTGGATGATAGTGGCTACTTTTGACAACTACCTCCAGTGCTCAAGGACCTTTGAGGAAATGTCTAGATTGTCTAGGACAAAAAAGATGATTCCAGGCTGCTGTAGAGTGAAGAGGCGGTTCCTTGAGAGAATATTGATCTTGACACTGTTACCAAGTCAACATTGCAAGTGTACTGTGATGTGTTCTCTATCTAAATCCGCCAACCCCAGCCGAAGCAGGGGGAGCACGTCAGAGAAAATATGCTCATTGCAAAAGTAATTGTGCCACCTCAAACCATAAGGATTGCTGAGTCTTGTATGAAATTCATTATGAAACTATGTCTCTTCATACCAAACACTTGTTGGTCATGTTTGGTCTACTAGTAGTCTACTAGTAGTCTACTAGCTCAAATCACGCAGTTTAATTGGTCAATATTGGTCACAAAGATCCACTGACCCCAGCACCAAGGCGAACTACAGACGAACTACAGGCCTTGGTGGCTATGGCACCATCGCAATGACCAGCATACCTCAACACTGCGATGAAAGTCTTGAAACTCAGCACACCTTCTGCTTGTTGGGCTAAAATGGGCTAAATATATCTAAATATGCTGAAATCTCACAACTATATCCAAAACCATCACCGAAATATACTGAGCTTTGAAATAGTTCTGCAAACTGGCACAAGGCCTCACCGAAACCTCAAAGGAAGAGGACAAGAATGTTCATGTTCCTAACCTACATCTGATAAATTGATCTAAATGGAAAGTACTCCTTTACTCAGCCCCTCAGAAATCATCGTTTGATTACCTGGTGGCACCAGCACTCTGAGCGGCTACCGCAGCTCCAAGGTACACGATTTGCAAATCGCCACTTGGCAGCTTTTGGAACTCCAAGGGCTTCCTGGCGATCGCAGCGACCTTTTGATGTCAGGACCATGTCCGTGAGCTTACTTTGGCCACTTCGGCAGTTGGAACTTGAAATGAGGCCCATGGATTTTGATGGATTTTGCCCAAGAACAAGTGCATAAGTGAGGACAATGAAGATTTTACACTATGCAGGGAAATGTGAGATGAACGCTAACGTACCTGATCATGATGGATGAGAGGCCAAACACTGCTGACTGTGGGCAAGAAGCCTGGAGTTGGGGATATGTATCTACAAGATTCTACGAGTCTATAAATCTATAGACATAGACTAAGGGAATCTTAATTTGGATGCTCTAAACTTAAGAAGACAATAAGCCACAAATGTGGTGGCTGCATTGTCCGATTCACTGCGCATGCCGGTGCAATGCCACAATAATTGTTCATTTCACAAATTATCCCCGCAGTTCTTGTTCCTCGACTCTTTGAGTTTCTGACACATACTTGGTCTTGCAGTCACTGACGCTCTTCGCAAAGCCCAAGAATTTGCCACGGCCATTCTTCAGGGTCTCCTTTGCTCTTGATTTCTCGGGCAGGGTCAACTGCACTGTTTTCCGCGGGACCAATCATTGCAACATTTCGGCCAATTGTGGCCCATTGACACCCTGATATGAGGATGAATTAGGTGGACCATGACAAACTTTTGAATTCGTACATATAAGCAACTTTGATTCATTGGTTCGTGTGTCAAGAGTGGTCACACTTCACAGAAACCGCTGAAATGCATGGCCCCGGTGGGTTCCAAGTTGTAGGTGTTCTTAACGCAAGCACGAGAAGAGAGTGTCACAGGCACTTTCTCGCGTCAAAACCTGTGCCGATGCAGCTTCCTTCTGCGACTTCAGGTTGTCTGTCTCCAAAGACACTGCCATGTCCTTGGATGGGAGAAGAAGGCAAGAAAGTGATGCAGCCCAATTTCGTAGCATGATTACGAAGCGAACAAAACCTGAATATGTATGTATGTATGTATGTATGTAATGTAATGTAATGTAATGTACAGTAATGTAATGTAATGTAATGTAATGTAATGCAATGTAATGCAATGTAATGTAATGTATGTAATGTAATGTAATGTAATGTAATGTAATGTAATGTAATGTAATGTATGTATGTATGTATACACACATAAATACACATGCTATATATATATACATATATATACATATATATATATACATATTATACGCATATTTGGAGTTAGGGGAGTTTCTGCATTTAATGCCGTTTAATTGGATTGCTGGTCGCTGTTTGTAAAAAGGTTGATGGGAAACAATTGGCCAAGCTTCGACTTTTTGGCCTTTCACGATCTCCACGTACTCATCAAATTCTATGACTGGTACCTGTGCCCAAGCAGATGTGTGATGATCCGTGTGACATGTCCACACAAGTGAAACAAATGACAAACCACAAATACCACAAGCACAAGCAGTCAGTCGCAGCTCTCGATTCGGTGCGCCTTGGAGCCTTTCAAGGCTTTGGAGTCAAAGAAAGTACGCCAGTAGACCTGGGTCCACAGGAGGACCAGAATACTAAATAATACTAACACATATCATGCCTTGACCCTCAGTACTCGGAAACGTCGACCTCGTCCTGAAGCCATCTCTGACAAAACAGGATTAGCGCATAGTATTGCAAGGCATCGGTGGACATGTTCCGCTCGGAAATGTTGAATCTGTGCTGTGCTGTAGTCCTGGCCACACCCGGGTAAATAGCCACAGAAAAAGAATACTCAAAGGGCTGGGAGACTTCTCATCAACATAGACTAAAATAGATGTTCGACAAGGGTTGTAGAGGTCTGGACGGTCTGGACGGTCTGGACGGTCTGGACAATCCGGAAAACTGAGAGTCACGCATGATCTGGGCCGGTCCACCAGTGCACTACCTGGACAATCTTTCCACCAAGTCCAGGGTGGGGGCGATAAAACTGTTGCATCCTCCAGTTGGGCGTTCCGTTCAAATGGCTTTTTATTTTGTTTAATGCTCTTGACTTGTGTCTATCATATTCTATCATTCTATCTGTGTCTTTTTGTAATCTGATGTTTGAAAATGTTTGAAATGTGTTGGTCAAGTTGGAAAGTGAAAAACTGTCGCTGAGTCATCTGAGTCTCATTTCTGACCTGGCACCATGGAGGCAGCACCAGGACAAAGCGAGCACCTCCATGAAAAGTGCTTGGCCCATGGGTTGCTCTGGGACAAGGAACTGAGGAAAATGGGGAAACTCCTGGTGTCTGTCAAATCATCAAAACCGTGCAAAGTTTCAACCTATCAAAAAAAAAATGTATAAACCTGTTACAACCACAAGGCTCTGTTCAATGAAAGGGTGAATTCTAGGAACCAAGGAATCGATTTGAAGTCATCTAGCAGGGTCTTGCAGTCGGATCAAAAACATTGCACAATTTCCAGGTCCCGTGGGTAGAGCAAGCCATCTCTTCGTGCATGCCCGGATCTCACCCATCAACAAGATGTAAACTACAGTAATGTAAAATATGTAAGGCTATTGCCAAACGAAAACTCAGGCACAGTTGACTCTTGACTCTCTTGAAGGCCTGGTATCCCCAAGTAGTACTGTAGTCTTTAATTTTCTGCCTAAGTTTCTCAGTCTTTCAGTCAAGGGACACTCACCATCGAGCTTTGCTCCGCACTTCGCATCCAATGCCTTGCGCAAACTTGCGACATCTTGCAGCATGTTTGTCTCCCTGTTTCCGGGTTTAGGTCCTTCGCCCTTCGCAAATTTTGGCAGATTGTGACTGTGGTAATCAAATCTTTCACTGTTGTGTGAAATTCCAACCAAACCCGCCAAATGCTCCAAAATTATGCTAAAATGCACAGGAGCCATTGAGATTGAAAAAGATCAAAATATATCAAAGGAGTACCTACGACAAACAAGCTTCATACCTTTACTGTCGCTATTAATTCTCCGTTCACATGACTCAGATCTGTGCTATGGATGTCCTGCCCACCACTCCGTCCATCTTTTCTGCCCTCAGACCTGCCTTGTTCACCTCTGCAACCACCCAACCGGCTCGGGGGTACACCTCGCAAAATCGCGACATGGGTTTACTTGCAGCAGCTGTGCGATGATCCATGGAAAATGCTGGAAGGTGTACAGTATGCATTCTCCTGACTCAATGCACCTCGCGCTGCAAGTTGAAGCCCTCGCCATACTTGGTATCGTAGAGGACAAAGCGAGGAGATGTGTTTTCGCCTGCCATCCGTGGGGTACGAGTAGTAAAGTTTACATGGCACCCTCGGGGTGGACAGAGCAGTTGAATCCCACACTCTCACAGTGATTTAGTCTCCCAAGAGTGGACTGGAGTATGGAGATTTCGAATGCTTCTTGACTGTTCCTGCCATGTCTGTGTTTGACATGTTTCACCCCCCACAGTGGCCAAACTCGCTGAATGGAGGTCTCAGATGGTCTCAGAGGCAAACTGTCTGCCTGCGCTGCACTTGCCATCTCCAGCTTTGCAAGTCTCACCTTGTGCGGAATGCACTCAGCACGGCCGCGAGAAAACACACCAAATAGATCCAAATAGCACCCAGGAATCAGGCAGGTGAAACTGACATGGATCGGATCTAACAAGTATTTCATTCCCAATCCTTCAATTTCAATCCGAAAAGTCCGATTCAAACAGTCAGGTCTTTGCATATCTACATTCGTCGAGTAGGATCATCTTGCTGTTCCGAGCCATGGAAGTCAAGTGCACCAGTAGTCAAGTGATGGTTGAGGGATGTTGAGGGTGCAGAAACAGAAACAGAAAGGGAAATCCAGCCTTGCAATTTTGGCAACTTTGGTTCCTTGCCACCTGCCAAGAAATCCATACTTCAGGATATGATAAGTTGAGATTGTAACGTAATTAGGCATCACATGGCATCATAGTGCCATCCGTCATCGGTCTCTCAGGCAATTCTAGCAGAATTAGTCTAGGGATCAGATGGATCAGGGCAGAAATGGATTGAACAGCAGGCAGGATAGGCACAGGAAACACTGCTGACAAGGCCAGAACAAAGGATAAATTTGAAGGCTGATCTGCCTTTGCAGGGAGCGATGCACATTGCCAGCTGGACTTTGTACTCTGAATCATAACATGTGCCTCAGTCGAGTGACTGTTCAAACTGCAAATGATAAGAACAAAATATACATCAAATACTGCATTAAGATCCCTGCATAATGTTGCTGCAGCTGGCCAGAAGATATCATAAACTTGTACTTGAGGTATATTAGATGTAACATATATATATATATGTAATATATATATTATACATTATATATAAGTATATTATAGACATATATTATATATTAAATATATCATATATATTATATATATTATATCATATATATTATATTAAATATATTATATATATTATATATATTATATTATATATATTATATTATATTATATCATATAAATAATATATATTATGTAATATATATATATATAAATATTATATTAAATATATTATATATATATAATATAATATATATATATATGTTATATATATGATATATATGATATATATTATATATATTATATATATTATATTGTATATTATATATATTATATATATTATATATATATGAAATATATTATATATATTATATATATTATATATATATGAAATATATTATATATATTATATATATTATATATATGATATATATGATATTTATTATATATATTATATATATTATATTATATATTACATATATTATATATTATATATATTATCTATATATTATATATATTATATATATTATATATATTATATATATTATATATATTATATATATTATATATATTATATATATTATATTATATATATTATATATATTATATTATATATTATATATATTATATATATTATATTATATATATTATATATATATTATATTATATATTATATATATTATATATATTATATTATATTATATATATTATATATATATTATATATATTATATATATTATATATATTATATATATTATATATATTATATATATTACATTTATTATATATATTATATATATTATATATTATATATATATTATATATATTACATTTATTATATATATTATATATATTATATATATTATATTATATATATTATATATATTATATATATTATATGTTATGTATTAAATATTATATATATAATATATATATATATTATATATTATATATATTATATATATTATATATATTATATATATTATATATATTATATATACTATATATTATATATATTAAATATATTATATATTATATATATATTATATATATATTATATATATTATATTTTAAATATAATATATATTACATTTATTATATATTATAAATATAATATATATATATTATTATATATATCATATATTATATTTATAATATATATATATCATATATTATATTTATAATATATATTATATAATATATGTTTTAAATATAATATATGATATATATTTTAAATATAATATATGATGTATATTATAAATATAATATATCATATATATTATAAATATAATATATGATATATATTATATAATATATATATATTATATGTATACAGTATTATAAATATTGTCTATATTATATTATATATAAATACTATATTACATATTATATTTATATATATATATATTTTATTATATATATTATACAATATATATATTATATTATATTACATTATATTATATTATATTATATCATATTATATTATATTATATATACTATACACTGTACATGGATTGTCTGTAGTAAGATGTCGAATGGTCGAATGGGCGCATGCTGTGGAATCACATGTTCCTGAGATTGAGACAGGCCGGTTGGTCTGAGATGGACTGCGGTTGTTCCGAGCAGCTCCTCAGCGGCATTTGCAAAGGTTGGACATTGCAAATGGTGGAATCTGCAGCATATTACAGATGTACCGATTATAAATATGTTATGTATGTTGTGTGTAAATATGTATTTGGTGATTCAATGTGATTCGCTTCTAATTCATTCAAAGTCCTGTGAATCAACATTATGTAAAAACGGACATTAACAGACTATAATAATAGCATGACGTTTCTGTGAGTCAGTGTTCTTGTTGATTTCCAACTGCATCTGACAACATGTTCAAAATCGGACATTTCAAACATTGTTTTCCGCCCATTGGAATCTGGGGACCGTGCTTGCCAGCGAAGGTGGCATGAAGCTGCGTTGAGTCGCTTGCCACTCCTTGACACCAGACCTGGCACAAGAGATCATGACCTGGGCATACCTGGGCAACACAGACAGAATGACACAGCATATAGAGACATCAATAGCCATCAATTAGAATGGGCTTCTCCACCTTCTCCCAGGGTTGTCCCTACGGCTCTTGCAGATTCACCAGCCCCGCCTTGCAACTTTCTATTCCGGGATCTGTCGGACACGGGAAGCTTCCAGACGTCCCCTCGGCAATCCAAATCCTGTGATCAGGAGACATTTCTCAAAGATTTTGACCCTAACAAATGCAACTGAGACAAATCAATACCAGGATATTCTGACACAAGACTTACATTATCCAATATACTGTAAGCTTTTGACTTCCTTGGTTTTGGGCAACTTCACCTGAACAGGAATTCTACAGTACTGGCATCCAATCCACTGAAGTTTTCTGCTGCAGCTGCACATCTATTTTCAATTGGCAAGAAGAGGTTCAGAGACTTCCTACCACAGCATTTCCGGCTACAGCATGTAGAATCTAGAGAGGGTCTCAAGAGAGTAGTTTGCTGGATTTTGCTGGTGCGTTGCACTAGCTCCGTGTTTCCAAAACAGCAAAAACGTGTTCTTGTTCTGATATTGGCATCAGGATTCAAGATTCCACTGGTGTCCAGTGATGTCCAGTGATGTCCGTTTTCCCAAAATATCTTCTCAAAACAGCGTGCGCAAAGGGTTAAAAATGCCTCGGCCAAGGACCTGAAGCGTCTCACAGCGCGGGTGCCTTGGGCAATTGCGGCGCTTTTCAAAAAGAGCTTTGGGCATATAAATATTAGGAAAAAAAGATGTCGCTGGAAAAAAAAAAATGCGTTCCTTGGTGCTGCCAGCTCAAAGCTCCGGACTGCCATCGGCAGAAAGAAGCAGACCGAGGTCACCTACCTGCGTCAGACCCAGTCGGACTCAATCCAATTTTCAGCTCGTACATCAGCTCTCAAGCTCTTAGCCTGCAAGTGCTTCATCTCGGCAGTCTGATGAGTGGTCGAATGGTATTGTATGGTCGTATGGTATTAATATGGTATCAATTGGTATTGTATCTTTCGAAACCCGTGACGATTTTATACGATTTTAGCCGTTTGACTTTGCCCCAAAGATGTGCGTTCCGTGATGCCTCCAAAGACCTGATGCCTTCCAAAACTGCTGCAAGTTGGAGAGCTGTGACCCGTGCCCGTGGCCTGCACCAAGGTGTATCCATTCAGAGAGTGGATCATGTCCTCGCTTAGCTCCTTCCAAATCATGCATAACATCACGGATCACAGCACATGGCGGCACATGGGCTCAAGCAGCAGAGGCCAATCATTCGGCTAATCTGGTCCTGACCCTGGGTGTTGGGATCCATGTTGTCGTCGAATACCCAAAATCCGTCCTGCATCAAAGTCTTCAGCAAGATGTTTTTCGACATGTTCGGCTGTCAAGGAGCTGCAGGGACCAATTCCTTTATCATCTTTATCGGTCTCCAATCTCAATATCTCAACTACATAACCACTGCCAGCTGTACCTTGGAAAATGACATATGAATGCCTGGTCATTCAATCTTCTGTCAAGCCCTCCTCTCCACCTTTTTCCTGCTGCACAACAGGTTCAATCAATGTGTAGGCTACTCCACTTCTAGCTAGGCCAGCTGGAGTAGCGTTCGTTTACAGCCGCTCCAAACTGTGGATCTCCGCCGCATGAGGACTTTGGAGCGCCATGACACGTGCGGCAACTTTCTTCGAAAGCACGGACTGCAACAGCTCCAGCTACTTGGACCTACTTGGCGCAGAGAAATACTAACCTGAGAAGGGGGGAACGAAAGCCAGCATCCCATCTACCCCTATTTTCCCCCAATGATTTTTCACCCACAGACTTTTCCCCCACATACTTTTCACCCAGAGACTCTTCACCCAGAAACCCTTCTTGCACATACTTTTCACCCATATACTTTTCACCCAGAGACTCTTCACCCAGAAACTCTTCTTGCACATACTTTTCACCCATATACTCTTCACCCAGGAACTCTTCACCCAGAAACTCTTCTTGCACATACTTTTCACCCAGAGACTCTTCACCCAGAAACTCTTATTGCACAGACTTTTCACCCAGAGACTCTTATTCAGAAACTCTTCTTGCTCACACTTTTCACCCAGAGACTCTTCCCCAGAAACTCTTCTTGCACGTACTTTTAACCCATATACTTTTCACCCAGGGGCTCTTCACCCAGAAACCCTTCTTGCACAGACTTTTCGCCCATATACTTTTCACCCAGGGACTCTTCACCCAGAAACTCTTCACCCAGAAACTCTTCTTGCACATACTTTTCACCCAGGGACTCTTCACCCAGAGACTCTTCACCCAGAAACTCTTCTTGCACATACTTTTCACCCATATACTTTTCACACAGAGACTCTTCACCCAGAAACTCTTCTTGCACGTACTTTTTACCCATATACTTTTCACCCAAAGACTCTTCACCCAGAAACCCTTCTTGCACATACTTTTCACCCAGAGACTCTTCACCCAGAAACTCTTCACCCAGAATCTCTTCTCGCACATACTTTTCACCCATATACTTTTCACCCAGAGACTCTTCACCCAGAAACTCTTCTTGCACATACTTTTCACCCATATACTCTTCACCCAGAAACTCTTCACCCAGAAACCCTTTTTGCACATACTTTTCACCCATATACTTTTCACCCACAGACGGATCAACCATATATTTCTCACCCACAGACTTTTCCCCCATATGCCTTTCACCCATAAACTTTTCACCCAGGGACTCTTCATCCAGAAAATCTTCTTGCACAGACTTTTCAACCAGAGACTCTTCACCCAAAAACTCTTCTTGCAGATACTTTTCACCCAGAAACTCTTCACCCAGAAACTCTTCTTTCACATACTTTTCACCCAAGGACTCTTCACCCAGAAACTCTTCTTGCAGATACTTTTCACCCATATACTTTTCACCCAGGGACTCTTCACCCAAAAACTCTTCTTGCACAGACTTTTCACCCAGAGACTCTTCACCCAGAAACTCTTCTTGCACAGACTTTTCACCCAGAATCTCTTCACCCAGAAACTCTTCTTGGACCTACTTTTCACCCATATACCTTTCACCCAGAGACTCTTCACCCAGAGACTCTTCTTGCACATACTTTTCACCCTGGGACTCTTCACCCAGAAACTCTTCTTGCACAGGCTTTTCACCCATACACTCTTCACCCAGAAACTCTTCCCCAGAAACTCTTCTTGCACGTACTTTTTACCCATATACTTTTCACCCAGAGACTCTTCACCCAGAAAATCTTCTTGCACATACTTTTCCCTCATTTACTTTTCACCCACAGACGGATCAACCATATATTTCTCACCCACAGACTTTTCTCCCATATGCCTTTCACCCATAAACTTTTCACCCAGGGACTCTTCATCCAGAAAATCTTCTTGCACAGACTTTTCACCCAGAGACTCTTCACCCAAAAACTCTTCTTGCAGATACTTTTCACCCAGAAACTCTTCACCCAGAAACTCTTCTTTCACATACTTTTCACCCAGAAACTCTTCACCCAGAAACTCTTCTCGCACAGACTTTTCACCCATATACTTTTCACCCAGAGACTCTTCACATACTTTTCACCCAGAGACTCTTCACCCAGAAACTCTTCTTGCACATACTTTTCACCCATTTACTTTCACCCAGAGACTCTTCACCCAGAAACTCTTCTTGCACAGACTTTTCACCCAGAGACTCTTCACCCAGAAACTCTTCTTGCACATACTTTTCACCCATATACGTTTCACCCAGGGCCTCTTCACCCAGAAACTCTTCTTGCACATAATTTTGACCCAGGAACTCTTCTTGCACAGGCTTTTCACCCAGAAATTCTTCTTGCATATACTTTTCACCCATATTTTTTTCATTCAGAGACTCTTCACCCAGAATCTCTTCTCGCACATACTTTTCACCCATATACTTTTCACCCAGAGACTCTTCACCCAGAAACTCTTCTTGCACATACTTTTCACTCATATACTTTTCACCCACAGACGGATCAAACTTGTATTTTCTCACTCACAGACTTTTCCCCCATATACCTTTCACCCATAAACTTTTCACCCAGAGACTCTTCACCCAGAAAATCTTCTTGCACAGACTTTTCACCCAGGGACTCTTCACCCAGAAACTCTTCTTGCACATACTTTTCACCCATATACTTCTCACCCAAAGACGGATCAACCATATACTTCTCACCCACAGACTTTTCCCATATATACTTTTCACCCATATACTTTTCACCCAGAGCCCCCACCCCAGACCCCCTATTTTCACTTCGTTCGCAAACAACAACTGGACAGCTTCCCGGCCGGCTTTCGTAATATATATATATATATAAATATATCGGCCTGAATTGTCAGGAATGCTGTACATTCTGCTTCACAGGCCATTATGTACCTCCTCCACGGTACTTTTGGTGGTTAATTTTTGTGACAGCTGCTATGTCTACGCCTTCAAACCTCGCATTATGCGCTAGCCCTCCTTCCTCCTTCACACAAACACCTTCCCATCTGACATCACATTGCCCGACAAAGACCCTCGAGCCGGGCGACTTTTGTCCTTCCTCCACCAACATCGACAGCAGTGGCAAAAGGCGCCTTTACCCTTACCTTTCCTATCTGTGCTAGCACTCCTTCCCCCTTCTCGCAGACATCACCTCCTCTGCCAAGCACCCCAAAAGGCTCCCCAAAATGCGGACCTAGGGGGAATCGATACCCTACCGTCACCCTTTTGCCGCATGGTACATGACCCGGAAAAAAGCTCCCAAAACACGCCCTTCCCCCCAAGTAATAGAGAGATTTTGGCTCACTTGGGCAAGCCCTCCCCCCAGACCCCCTTATACTCACTTTGTTCGCAGACAGCAACGATCCAGCTAGCTGGCTTTCGTAAAATAGCATCTGGATATCCACCTAACTTAAAGTTGCTTTTGGTTGAATCTTTGCGGGCGCTGGATCGTTGCTGTCTGCGAACAAAGTGAGTAGAAGGGAGTCTGGGGGGAGGGCTTGCCCAAGTCCTGTTCGCGCAGAACTCAGCATCACTAAGCTAGATTCAGGCTGTTCAACAACGCAGGTGTGTGTGATTGCTTATGTGTCGGGCAGCATATTTGCGGACCACGCGTTTTTCGTTGCATTATACCATGGTACCAATCTAGCAAAACACCTTTCGCATATTTGCAATCCTCTTGTGATGGTTCTTATCCAAAAAAAGAAGTGAGAGCGAACCCGGCCTGAATTGTCAGGAATGCTCTACATTCTGCTTCACAGGCCATTATGTACCTCCTCCACGGTACTTTTGGTGGTTAATTGTTGTGAAAGCTGGTATGTCTACGCCTACAAACCTCGCATTATGCGCTAGCCCTCACACAAACACCTTCCCATCTGACATCACAGTGCCCGACAAAGACCCTCGCGCCGGGCGACTTTTGGCCTTCCTCCACCAACATCGACAGCACTGGCAAAAGGCGCCTTTACCCTTACCTTTCCTATCTGTGCTAGCACTCCTTCCCCCTTCTCGCAGACATCGGCTCCTCTGCCAAGCACCCCAAAAGGCACCCCAACATGCGGACCTAGCGAACCCGGCCTGAATTGTCAGGACTGCTCTACATTCTGCTTCACAGGCCATTATGTACCTCCGCCACGGTACTTTTGGTGGTTAATTTTTGTGCGAGCTGGTATGTCTACGCCTTCAAACCTCGCATTATGCGCTAGCCCTCCTTCCTCCGTCACACAAACACCTTCCCATCTGACAGCACATTGCCCGACAAAGACCCTCGAGCCGGGCGACTTTTGTCCTTCCTCCACCAACATCGACAGCAGTGGCAAAAGGCGCCTTTACCCTTACCTGTCCTATCTGTGCTAGCACTCCTTCCCCCTTCTCGCAGACATCGGCTCCTCTGCCAAGCACCCCAAAAGGCTCCCCAAAATGCGGACCTAGGGGGAATCGATACCCTACCGTCACCCTTTTGCCGCATGGTACATGACCCGGCAAAACGCTCCCAAAACACACCCTTCCCCCCAAGTAATAGCGAGATTTTGGCTCACTTGGGCAAGCCCTCCCCCCAGACCCCCTTATACTCACTTCGTTCGCAGACAGCAACGATCCAGCTAGCTGGCTTTCGTAAAATAGCATCTGGATATCCACCTAACTTAAAGTTGCTTTTGGTTGAATCTTTGCGGGCGCTGGATCGTTGCTGTCTGCGAACAAAGTGAGTAGAAGGGAGTCTGGGGGGAGGGCTTGCCCAAGTCCTGTTCGCGCAGAACTCAGCATCACTAAGCTAGATTCAGGCTGTTCAACAACGCAGGTGTGTGTGATTGCTTATGTGTCGGGCAGCATATTTGCGGACCACGCGTTTTTCGTTGCATTATACCATGGTACCAATCTAGCAAAACACCTTTCGCATATTTGCAATCCTCTTGTGATGGTTCTTATCCAAAAAAAGAAGTGAGAGCGAACCCGGCCTGAATTGTCAGGACTGCTCTACATTCTGCTTCACAGGCCATTATGTACCTCCTCCACGGTACTTTTGGTGGTTAATTGTTGTGAAAGCTGGTATGTCTACGCCTTCAAACCTCGCATTATGCGCTAGCCCTCCTTCCTCCGTCACACAAACACCTTCCCATCTGACAGCACATTGCCCGACAAAGACCCTCGAGCCGGGCGACTTTTGTCCTTCCTCCACCAACATCGACAGCAGTGGCAAAAGGCGCCTTTACCCTTACCTGTCCTATCTGTGCTAGCACTCCTTCCCCCTTCTCGCAGACATCGGCTCCTCTGCCAAGCACCCCAAAAGGCTCCCCAAAATGCGGACCTAGGGGGAATCGATACCCTACCGTCACCCTTTTGCCGCATGGTACATGACCCGGCAAAACGCTCCCAAAACACACCCTTCCCCCCAAGTAATAGCGAGATTTTGGCTCACTTGGGCAAGCCCTCCCCCCAGACCCCCTTATACTCACTTCGTTCGCAGACAGCAACGATCCAGCTAGCTGGCTTTCGTAAAATAGCATCTGGATATCCACCTAACTTAAAGTTGCTTTTGGTTGAATCTTTGCGGGCGCTGGATCGTTGCTGTCTGCGAACAAAGTGAGTAGAAGGGAGTCTGGGGGGAGGGCTTGCCCAAGTCCTGTTCGCGCAGAACTCAGCATCACTAAGCTAGATTCAGGCTGTTCAACAACGCAGGTGTGTGTGATTGCTTATGTGTCGGGCAGCATATTTGCGGACCACGCGTTTTTCGTTGCATTATACCATGGTACCAATCTAGCAAAACACCTTTCGCATATTTGCAATCCTCTTGTGATGGTTCTTATCCAAAAAAAGAAGTGAGAGCGAACCCGGCCTGAATTGTCAGGAATGCTCTACATTCTGCTTCACAGGCCATTATGTACCTCCTCCACGGTACTTTTGGTGGTTAATTGTTGTGAAAGCTGGTATGTCTACGCCTTCAAACCTCGCATTATGCGCTAGCCCTCCTTCCTCCGTCACACAAACACCTTCCCATCTGACAGCACATTGCCCGACAAAGACCCTCGAGCCGGGCGACTTTTGTCCTTCCTCCACCAACATCGACAGCAGTGGCAAAAGGCGCCTTTACCCTTACCTGTCCTATCTGTGCTAGCACTCCTTCCCCCTTCTCGCAGACATCGGCTCCTCTGCCAAGCACCCCAAAAGGCTCCCCAAAATGCGGACCTAGGGGGAATCGATACCCTACCGTCACCCTTTTGCCGCATGGTACATGACCCGGCAAAACGCTCCCAAAACACACCCTTCCCCCCAAGTAATAGCGAGATTTTGGCTCACTTGGGCAAGCCCTCCCCCCAGACCCCCTTATACTCACTTCGTTCGCAGACAGCAACGATCCAGCTAGCTGGCTTTCGTAATCTAACGTCTATGAATCAACAGGAATAATATGTCAATATATGTCACGACTGCCACGACTCTGCTGAAATAGCTGGAGAATGTTGGAGACCTGTGCGCTTCTGAAGATGTCTGAAGCCTCCACTTAGGGCCGCTTCGCAAGTTCTGGGTTCAGTGCCTGAAAAAGCCCGTGTCTGCAGCCGAGACTAAACCAGAAAGCTCCGGAATTGGCGGCCACCTTGTGTCGGCAAGAATGAAACGTTTGGTCACCCAAAACAAGTGGCGCCGCCGCCAAAAGATGCTGGGAGGAAAAGTCAGTAGGTCAGTAAGCAAAGGTGAGGCTTTGGAGGCGACAAATGCTCACATCCAAGCAGCTTTGGGCTGTGAGAAGGGCATGAACACATTGATTCCCATTGCCAAGGCAAAGCCATGGGAGAGTTGGATTTAATACAGGTTTGATCGCCCACAACCATCCACCCGGTGCTGACGCCTTTCGGGCAATCCCATGAGTTTTGTCTTTCTTGGCACCACCAAAGAAACAATGCTTACAGGTTTTCCCCCTGATCATTCCAAGCAACAAATCGCATTCATGAGTTCTTTCCAGTACTTCAGGCCCTCTGTTTCCGCCTGCAGCATAGCAGAAATCACAATGATTCTCCAATGTCATGCTGGGAGGTACACAGGTCCATTAAGAGAAACTGACTGAGCGGGCATGCGCAAGAGAGGCCATGCAGAGCCTTCGGAACCTCCAAGGTGTAGGCCACCGCAGGTAGCATCAAGCCCTTAGACGCTGACAGATGAGAGCTGCCAAGACGCCAAGGCATCAAGATCTAAACTAAACGCTTGCTGGCGCTCTCCCTTAGACTCTCCTTCCGCCTCCATTACAGTCACTACTAATTGGAGAAAATGATACCCTGCAATTTGAAGAATTAAGATGAATTAAGCCTTGCCACGGACTTCTGTATCTTCTCTTAAATCACTGCAGTTTCAAACTGCCCACTCCCGCTGGTTTTTTGCCTCACTTCTTTCGCCAAGGATCGATTGGAAAGTCCTCAGCCTTCGGAGAGCCCACAAGAGCCTCCATGTTGCAGATAGGCGATGCCGCTAAAAACACGCAACAAACAGTTGGATCTTCTGAGGCTATGCACCATTCTTATATATATATATTATATCCATATATAATCCATACGAATGCAACCTCTTGATTTTGAGAAGATGTGTTTGACCTTCACCTCTTCTTGACTAGTCATCATATTATATTATATTACTGTATATTAGATATATTTTGAAAAGTGAGGAAGTCCATGCCATGGCCTCCAAACTGGCATGCTCAGGTTTGGCCACTGGAAGGTCAAAAGTCTCATCCCAAGTGGGATCCAAATTCTTCACCTTCACTGTAGAACCTGAAAGTACACTTTCCGTTGAGTCTGGTGCAACATAACATTGAACATCATTGAACATTCTCGCCCTGCTAAGTCCATCTGATCTGAAGGGACCAATAAATAGCGGCTTTCAGTTGCTCGACTGTCAGTAGATTTGTTGACTTCACCTTTTTCAAGTCCGGGGTCAATGATGCCTCTCATGGCCTCTCTAACTTGTCCTCTCACAAGTATCTTGACATCAGCCTTCCCTCATGACATGAAGTGTTTGGTTTCGCGGTTTCGCCGTTTCACCCCCATTTCAGCCAAGTGACGTTGTACACACCGATAGCTTTCATCTTCACTGTAGGCGAAGACCTGGGTTTCTGTTCGGTGAATCCACTGCATCCAAACCAAGAGAATCCAAATGAGTCCCAATGAAACTCCAGTTTGAATATGTTTGAATTGGATCAAATGTACTAGCCATTGGATGCCACTTTCCTATTTGATATCGACCCCAGTGCAGGCGGAGCACATGCAGAGATTAGGTTGAACCTTTTGGCACGGCCGCCGACGACGACGACGACAACAACAACAACAACAACCACAACCACAACCACAACCACAACCACAACCACAACCATCACCACTACTACTACGGCGACTACTACGACTACTCCTCCTACTCCTCCTGACGCTTCTACTTTTGCTTCTAATACAAATACGAACACCAATACGAACACGAACCCAAATACAAATATTATATATATAAGATTATAAGAGATTATCGAAGGAAGTTTAGAAGTCATACTTCCGACAATATGGACAAATGAAAAGCAGAGATGACGCTACACTACGCTACACTACAGTACACTACACTACACTACACTAATTGCATTACACTACACTACACCACACTACACTCAATTACACTACACTACACTACACTACACTACACTACCCTACCCCACATTGCATTACATTACATTACACTACACTCATTACACCACCACAAATGCAACTGCAACTACACTACACTAATTACATTACATCACAACTACAACTCCACTACACTACAACTACAACTACAGCTGCGCTACACCACACTACATCCAGCAGTTGTGGGTGAGGTGACCGACCAGGTGACCAGCTCCAACCACCTTTCGGTCCATCAGTGGATTCGCTCTGCCATCCGTGATTCACAACAACCAATCTCTCCTATAGGTTTCCTATGTTTGAAACTTCCGCCACCGCCTTGTGCGGTACTACTGGTAAGAGTAATAGTATGTCATAATGCTATTTAAGTCTATATAACTTTGGCTTGGTCGACTGATCAGATTTGAGGAATGGTTGTCCCTCCTGACGGCATCAAGACAACATTTGAGTTGTCACCCGAGTCTTGGAACACCTTTCGCTTTCTTCTCTGCTGTCTCTGTGTAAATCCTTTCAACGATATATCTCCACCCTCAGCGTGAAGCTTAGTAGGGTCATAGAGGGTCATAGACCCCATGGTTCTTCTTGCGACTACTGAAATCTAGATACGTCGTCCGTTTTATTCCGTTTTCACCTGCCAGTCTTTGTCTGGATGTTCTCCATGCGAATTTGGACATGATGTTACATATTCATACATATTCATACATATTCAATATGAATATGACCGTCGGCCTCAGCATCGTTTAGTATTGTGTGTGTTACTGTTTACTAAGTGTCTTGTTTGAGAACGTTGCGGCAAAGGAAAGGCATGTACACCATCATAATCTGATACGTCAAAAAAAAAATGTCAAATCAGTGTCTTCTCCATGCCAGTTCTTCATTCATGACGTGACATCCTTTGCAGCTATGACTGCTGTTCATGTCCTATCTTTCGCCGAAATTCGTGGCTAAAACCTCTGTGCCATTTCAGGGCCATTTCTGTCATCGACTTCCCTGAACACCCCGCAGTGATGTCATCCTCCATGATGTCTTTTTAGCCTGGGAGCAATGCGGATGTCATGTTTCAATTTTTAAGCCGTTGGGTGAAATTGGGCACCTCTTGGGGTTCACTTGCAATCCAAATATCGTTGTCAAAGTCTGCTCCGAATTCAATGAGAAAACATGACAAAACAGTTGTTAAACATGCACCCTAAAAAATCCTCAAAAGCTTTGCTTGATGCAGCTGCAGACAGAGCATTTTTTTGTCTGGCACTACGCAACCGAAGTCCAGATCGTCAAGGTGTTTTAGTCCTGCGCTTGCTTCATCTTTTGATGCCTTTGCAATTCGAGAGAAAACATTAATGGAACATTTCATCCTGAAGCCATTGCATCAGGGAAGACATGATGGAAAGATCATACATAAGGAATCATCCTGTTGTCACTGTCGTGGTCACTGTCGCGCTGGTCGTCACGTTGGTTTGCGTCGAAGTGGCTGTTTCGGTGACCGTTGACGTAACTGTCGAGGTGACTGTGTCGGTCGCCGTGACTGTCGCTGTGGCTCCTGCTGCGGTAACGGTGGTCGTGGCCGTGACCGTCGCGCTTTCTGTGCTTGATGTGCAAGGATTCGTCAAGGCACATGGAAGAGGCCCAATGGACAAATTAGCAATCATCTCATCAATGAGAGCGGATGCGGTTTTGCCATTCTCTTCCAAGGCACAGCATTCCTCCGTAGCGATGCACTCAGCAAATGTCCTGGAATTCTCGCACAAGCTGCCAGAGTTCACCTGATTGAATTGTCCACATCGTGCTTGCCCAGCATCCGTGCATGTTGATCCACCAACGGAGAGATCATCTCCGTTCGATCCACAGCCCTGCAGGCTGCCCATGAGCATCATGCCGAGGCCGGCGAGGGCAGAGAGGAAGATGGGTCTCATCGCCACCTTGTGGCGAAACACACCTCACGGCCTAACGGGACCTTGAGTTCAACTTGAGCAGTAAAGTCTGGCCGTCATTGAATCTGTTGCACATGGTTGGACAACAGTTTGTCCAAAACTGCCAGATGCCCAAATTTATGGCAACTCTCATGGGGAAAATGATGTTCTAAGCTGCTTTACGTAACTCATTCTTGGACAAAATAGGACAAAACCATACAAAACCCATCAGCTGCTGCGGCTCCAGCTGGGGTTCCAGACGGAGTTTAGAGCTTCGTCTTGAGCAGGTGACGGCTGTCCCATTAAATCTAGTGGAGCATCCCCACCGGGGCCGGCTGGTGCATCACGACACACCCACCCTGTATATCCCCGTACGATGAAGAGTGGATAGATCAATCATGTCCGAAATATCCTTTTTCTGCTCAGGTTCTCATAGAGAGCAGTCGATGCAGTATAGATACATGTGTGAGTGCATAGTATGTGTATATCTATATAATTATGTAATTTATACACGCCGATCCCAGTGCAGCAAGGGGAGCGCATGCAAAGACTGGGTTGAAAGTTGTGGCACCGCGGCCAACAGCAGCAGCCGCAGCAGCACTTGTATATTTTTTTTTTTGTGTGTGTGTGTGTAAGCGTGTCGCTTTACATCTGTCTGTGCACCTCTCTACACCCCTCTCGGCCAATGTCCCAGCAATCCATCATGCGCACCTTGACGAAGGGATCCGACGAAGCTCGGGAAGCCCAGAGAACAGTGTCACACCTGCGTCAAGGCATAGTGAGAACCATCAACAACGAAATGAAAAGAAATGCAAAGGAAACCATGGATCGCGGCTGTTGCTGTTGTTGTGGTTGTGGTTGTGGTTGTGGTTGTTGTTGTTGTTGTTGTTGCTGTTGCTGTTGTTGCTGTTGCTGTTGTTGTTGCTGTTGTTGCAGTTTTGTTGTTGTTGTTGTTGTTGTTGCTGTTGCTGCTGTTGTTGCTGTTGTTGTTGTTCTTGTTGTTTTGTTTTTTTTGTCGTTGTTGTTGTTGTTGTTGTTGTTCTTGTTGTTGTTCTTGTTTTTGTTCTTGTTGTTGTTGTTGTGGTGGTGGTGATTGTTGTGGTTGTTGTGGTTGTGGTTGTGGTTGTGGTTGTGGTTGTGGTTGTGGTTGCTGTGGTTGTGGTCGTGGTCGTGGTTGCTGTGGTTGTGGTCGTGGTCGTGGTCGTGGGTGGTCGTGGTCGTGGTCGTGGGTGTTGGTGTTGTTGTTGTTGTTGTTTTTTGTTGTTGTTTTTTGTTGTTGTTTTTTGTTGTTGTTTTTTGTTGTTGTTTTTTGTTGTTGTTTTTTGTTGTTGTTTTTTGTTGTTGTTTGGCTGTTGTTGTTTGGCTGTTGTGTTGTTTGCGTTGTTTGCGTTGTTTGCGTTGTTTGCGTTGTTTGTGCTGTTTGCGGTGTTTGTCTTGTTTGCGCTGTTTGTCTTGTTTGCTTGTTTGCTTGTTTGCTTGTTTGCTTGTTTCGTTGTTTGTTTGTTTCGTTGTTTGGTTGGTTCGTTGGTTCGTTGGTTCGTTGGTTGGTTGGTTGGTCGGTTGGTTGGGTGTGGGCGTGGGGGGGTTGAGTGGGTGGGTGGGTGGCGTGGTGGGTGGGTGATGTGGGTGGTTGTGGGTGGGGTTCGTTGGTGGGTTGTTGGTGGGTGGTTTTGGTGGGTGGGTGGTGGGGTGTTGGTGGGTTGTTGGTGGGTGTTTGGGGGTTGTTGGTGGGTTGTTGGTGGGTTGTTGGTGGGTTGTTGGTGGGTTGTTGGTGGGTTGTTGGTGGGTTGTTGGTGGGTTGTTGGTGGGTTGTTGGTGGGTTGGTGGTGGGTTGGTGGTGGGTTGGTGGTGGGTTGGTGGTGGGTTGGTGGTGGGTTGGTGGTGGGTTGGTGGGGGTGGTGGTGGGTTGTTGGGGGTGTTGTGGGTTGTTGGTGGGTTGTTGGTGGGTTGGTGCTGGGTTGGTGCTGGGTTGGTGGTGGGTTGGTGGTGGGTTGGTGGTGGGTTGGTGGAGGGTTGGTGGAGGGTGTTGTTGTTGTTGTTGTTGTCGTTGTCGTTGTCGTTGTCGTTGTCGTTGTCGTTGTCGTTGTTGTTGTCGTTGTCGTTGTCGTTGTTGTTGTCGTTGTCTTTGTTGTTGTCGTCGTCGTCGTCGTCGTTGTTGCTGCCTTTGCTGTTGCTGTTGCTGTTGATATTCAAAGTTGGTCTCTCTTCAATATCCTTTGACAGCTGCATCTCTAGTTTGCGTAGTCTTTCTGTTTGCAGCATGGCATTTCCAGAACTACTACCACTGCAGCCACCTGAGCTCCCAACACTGGTAACTTCTCGGCCCTCACGATTCGCACGCTCCAAGCCCCCTGCAAGCGACTCTGCTCTGCAAACCTGAGCAACAAAGCGGCTTTCAGATCTCAAACACAGAAAATCACACAAACTGTTCGATATGCCAACCCAACAGGCAACAACCTGTTTCACCCGATTACATCCTGTTTATCCTGTCTGTACATCCTGTTTCACCATCTTGAAATTAACATAAATTAACATGATAAATGAAAACAGTCGGCAAACCGGAAATTAAACGAAAAATGGCTGCCTTCTCCAAGTTATGGAGTAGGTAAGAGTCGATGGCCCGTCCTGCAGGCCACTCTCAAACCCAAAATGCTGCCATTCTGTGCACAGGTAGTACAGTAGACATAACGCCATGTGCCCCGACAAGTAACAAGCAGACATGGTGGAGAAGAAAAACACAAAGAATGACGATGATGTGGTTATCTTATACTTAAAGAGTTGTGAAGCTATATCATTCTATCAATCTGTATCTTTATCTGAAGAGTCTGTGTACTTGGCTGATTGCAACTTCTAACTCCAGCCTTGCCAGAAACAGGGACGCCGTCTGCGGTAAGCAGTGGAGCAGTGGTCTCTGGAGTCTCCACCAAATCAGCAAAGACCTGCGTGGCAGCTCCACTTTAGGCGCTTACCATGAAGTGTTTCGGCCTAACACATGCCTGTATTCTACACCGATGCAAAAGACTCAAACCTCGCTAAAACGAAGGTTGAATCTGTATGTGTATCTATATATATATATACATATACTTTTGTAATATATAACTATAATATATATATATGTGTGTGTGTGTGTTTTTCCTTCGGTCAATTAAAGCTCAAAGCTTGGAAATTACATCACTTAGCTGTCTCTCCAGACTAGCACCAAGTTCAATCCCATCGTAGCTGATGGTGGGTGGCAGCATTGCTTTTTGGGACCCGGTGCAGCCTGTCCAATGAAGTCGCTGTCGGTCATGGAGTCGAAGTCATAGACCACCAATTGAGCTTTTTTCCATCCATTGGGATTGCCAAAGCCTTTGCAAAATGCTCCCTTGCCAGAAATTTGGGAAACAGGGAATCACTGACCAAAAAAATTGTACCCTTCCAAGGCTGCGCCTATCTTCTGTCAAACCATGGGCTCCCATGGACCATATTTGCTTCCAAGTATCGGTGGCGGTACTGGCGCGCAGCCTCCCACGCTAGCCTCAAACGGTTGTGAAATTTGTCACGCAAGGCTTCACTTGCGCCAAATGTATCTTGGATCTGCCCTACCAAATCGATGCCAAACAACTTACAATTGGGGACTCTCAAGAAAGGCACACCTTGAAGCCCAGGGGAGGGTGCACGAAAGCTAATATGACTTGGAAACATCATGGGGCTTTATATGGTTAGGCCAGATTGTCGAGAGCTCAGCACGCCCCTGGCAGGATGTGAGCCCGTGACCATCTGCTTCCAAGACCGCTCCACCAGAATGCCCCGGGAGCTTTTGGGGGAGGAGGGTGAGGGTTTTACGTGAAAATCACTGTGTTCGACTCAGAGCTGCCCCTCCCTTGCTGAAGCAAGAGTAAACTCCAGCTAGCTACCGCTAGGTTTCTTGATTTACATCCACTTACCTGATCCCTAAAGGGGCCTCTGGATGCCGCCAACATAGAGACGCCAGAAGTCGAGGCGATCCTAGCATGCTTTGGCAAAGTACTCTTTAGTTGCTTGAGCAATCTTTGGTTCAACGAAATCCAGCTACGAGTAGCTGCAAGCTTCCGCTTAGTATGACACAACAACAAAGTCGTAGTTCCATTTGTCGTTCAAACACAGCTCCTGCTGCTCTTCCGCGGTTCGCTCGGAGTGCTCCTCCAAGGTGTTTAATTCTGACCTGACGGCGGTTGGGAGATGTTCAACCAGTGCCTGTGGCATCACTTCTTGCAATTGCAGCAGGCCGTGCTCAAATAATGTTATGACATGTTATGAATTTAATATCACACATCAGCCTCTGACACGCCTGCCCCAGTCAAATATCTTCACCAGCACGGATTTTCGCAACTCGGCTTCATCCGCAGGAGTGAAGCCCTGACCATCCTCATATCCCTCAGCTTCAGCTCCAAACTGGCATCTTCAAAGGCATGCCAAAACGTATCAAAACATGCCAAACTATAACATTATTAGAACATTATGAGTCACTGTAACATATTTGTTTTCACTTCTTTCATGGCCATGTTGCAGGCAAGGAGAAGCCATCGTCAAATCCCAGCGC